ATATGGGAATGTATCTGTTTTATGCAATAACTGCACAGTTATATATTTTTATGTATTTTATTGTATTTTGCTACCATGTGGCTAATGGAGTTTTGCCTCTGTCCTTGGAGATAATTAGATTACTTCCCAATTATCTCCAGGATAGAAGACTCTGTGGAACTGGTTTTGGGCAGAAAAGCCATGCTTCATTTGGTCACAAAGGGACTTTCAACTAACTTTTGACCCACGGGACCAATTTGTATGATTTTGACGTATGCTGATTCTGAAAATGTAAGTTTTATGTGAATGTGATGTATACTTTAAGAGTTATGAATATTGTGTAAAACTGTGTATTTTCCTGCCTGTGATAATTAAGTTAGACGATTGGGTTCAGTAATTATATCACAGGCAGAGGGGAGGATTTTGTGTGGGGGTGTCTAAATGTATTGTACGTATTGATTGGTTGTTCTGCAAAAACCCTGTGGGTAGTACTATGTGTGTAGAATGTGAATAAAAGAGGCTGTATGTGCCAGTACAGACAGTTCTACTGCACCCTCAATCTGAGTCCTGTCTCTTATTGGGGGAATCTGCTACAAGGGATTGCTATGCTCTGCATTTTCCCTTGCTATAATCACTGAGCTCTTGTAAGAGCTTGTTCCTGTCTTGCTCTCTGAAGGAGTTTACGGTGGTTATGGTGTCGGCTGGAGTGCTTGGAGCCCTCAGGAAGCGCTAGGAGCATCCTTCAATGGAGGTACCCAGTCGGGGTGCCAGTCGATCCGTTACATTGTTAAATATTGTTAGGGACCTATTATAGTCCCGAATCTCCACTGGGGGCCTGATACTCAAGAGACATTTTTCCCTAAAAAGGCTATGCCTGTGATGGATAAGCAGCTCTAGACTTTTGGCCAGGTGGAGGATGGGGGTGTAAATCCACTGTCCAAATGTTGTGCAAAGCAATTTCCTACAGTTCTATCTAACTGCCCAAGCTTCTGCACAATATAATATACATAATTCCTTTAAAGTCTTTTCCCTGAATGTGAAGAGATTAAATAGTCCTTACAATCGTAGATTGGCCCCGAGGGAAATGCACGTCTCTAAAGCTGTTGTTGTGTGTCTCTAGGAAACACAGTTTTATCATTGCTAGCCTCCCCACTTAAAGTCACAAAATTATCCATTTCATGCTTTCTCTCCGACTAAATCTAAGGTGTCAATTAGAAACAGATTTCCAACACAAGCCTTCAACGTGTGTGCTCCTTTATTTAAGGTGTCCAGTAAGTTGTCAACGGTTCGGCCCCTAAAGGCCCAATCATTCTCTAAAAGCTATTACTCCTGACTTGCCATTAACAATGTGGTCCTCTCATGGAAATTTTCTTGGCTGCCCCAATGGATTAAAAACTTTCCAAGCTTACAATAGGAATATTTTCTTCCATGGAGGGAAATTTTTACTTATCTTAAAATTAAACATATTCTTTCCTCACATAAGGTGCAGGGGTATGATCCACCCCCCTTTGGGAAGTACTGTGTGAGGGATAACCAATTCCAAAGGCTCTATCCCTTTTATAATGCATTGATATAATCAGCAGAGGAAACCAAGTTAACCCATATGATTAAATGGGAAACTGATAGGGGAATAACATTTCCTTTGACACAATGGTTGTGTGCAATTAACTAGACACGTTCCTCCTCTAGGAAGTTTATCTCATTGGGATTCTCTTGCGTTGGTACCTAATACCCATGAGATTGTCATTCTGGCCGCGCAGCCCAAGGACTAAGGCAATGTGGCCACACGGTGCGTTCTGCCCGCATGGCCGGACAAGAATAGCAGCGCGAGCACTGGGTACAGGTAAGTTTGTGACAGTGTGTTCCCCATCCCCCCCCCCTCTGGACTGGAGGGGGATATTCCAGTCCCCACTGGGGCACGAATGGCTTTAGGCTACGATCTAGAGATATCGGTACCCAGAACAGGCTTTAGAGCCTTGTGATTGTGGGTGTGTGTGTGTGACTGTCTGTGACTGTGTGTGTGTGTGACTGTCTGCCTGTGATTGTGTGTGTGACTGTCTGTGACTGTGTTGTGTGTATGTGTGACTGTCTGTGATTGTGTGTGTGACTGTCTGCCTGTGTGATTGCCTGCGTATTTGACTGTCTGCCTGTAACTGTGTGTGAGTGACTGTGTGTGGGACTGTGTGCATCTGACTGTGTCTGACGGTCTTCGCCCTGCAGTGAGCCAGCAGCCAGGATATGATGTCATTGCGGCCTCGGCGTCATTACAGGGCATGCGATGGACCTGTGCAGAAAGAGCACAGAGATCCCAGCAGCAACCACTGACCACCAGGGACTGAGGATCCACTCCAGCCCTTCTAGAGCAAGGTGGGTAGGCTGGGTGGACCTCTTAATTATTAAATGTGTGTATGTATGTAATGTTTGTGTGTGTATGTGATTGTGTGTCTGTGATTGTATGTGTGTGGGTCAGTGATTGTGCTTGTGTATGTGTGTGATTGTGTGTATCTCTGCGTATATGTTTAGTAGATAGCTCCCTTATTTCCTATCCTTAAATATTGCAATCCCACATAAGGATAACAAATAAGGGATTTATCTACTAAACAACTGAAAATAAGAAAAGGGCTTTTTTTTTATCCTTTAGCTGTTTAGTGGATCATTCCCTGAATTGGTGCCCGTATGTGAGATTTCCATATTTAAAGATACCAAATGAGGGTGCTGTTTAGCAGATAGCATCTTATTTGGTGTCCTTAAATATGGCAATCCCACAAAGGATAGCAAATAGAGGAGTTATCTGCTAAACAAAGATTGAAATTAAGAGGTGTCAGCCATCCCACAACAAGAAATCTGGGTGGCTAATGTGAATTACATGCAAATGTGTAGTCAGATGCCAGCATGCAGAACACCGCATGCTGGCATCAGACAGCCAATGGCAGCATATTACCCCATCCCCTAGTGAGAAGTTTTACTGCTCCACCTCCCCCTCCTGTTTTGACTGTGGTATCTTATGTGCCCCCCTATATATATTGTTCCTAGAGTCGCCACGATGTCTGCATGTGTGTCAATGTGTATCTGTGTGTGACTGTGTTTGTGTGTGTATGTATGTGTATATGTGCAGACATCTAAAAATCTCGCCAACACTACACACAAATACACTCTTGCATTTCAACGTCAACACTACATACAAACCCCACCATTATATATAACCATACCACTGTATTCAAATACCACACAACACACAAATGCATGCTTGCATTCAAACGCCAACACTACATACAAACACACCGCTACATTCACTCACATATACTCCATACAAAAACATGCATACATTCAAAAACACACAAACACTGCTTAGTGCTAAATACATTAAAACATTTTTTAGTTGTTTTTATATTTAAAGTTGAGGGGGGAGCAAGGAGGGGGTGCCAAAAATAGGACCCGCCCCGGGTGCCAAATGCTCTAAGTACGCCCCTGGGGCCACGTCACCTATTTCCATGGAACTGTTTTGGACTACTGCAAATTAGGAAAGTGAAAATAATGACAAGTTCCATCTATATATATCTCTATTTTAACATAGTTTGGAAAGTTGTAATTGTGTTATTTATTTGAGAATGTATTAACCCCTTAAAACCGCAGGACGTACAATTACGCCCTCTAATAGGCGGCTCTAAACGCCGCCGGGCGTAATTGT